TTTTTTTACTTTTTTTAACTAATTTATTATCTTATTGATGTTTAAAAATAACATAACATAATTTCAAGCTTTTAGTATTTCGAACACAATATACAACATGTTTCATATCTATTTTTGTTTAATAAAATTGGATAAATATTTTGTTGACATCAATCATAATCAAATTATTTAAGAAAATAAATTCAAATCAACTTAAAATCCGAACGCAAATCATTTAAAATTTGGTCATTCATTTATGTTGATACACTTTCAATACAACACTTTCAAGTAAAGCTTGATACACATTAAAAAATTTCAACAAATAATTATCTTTCATAAAATCACGCTCTTTAAATTTCCTAACAACATTCGTGTTAATTTCCAAAATTTGACATTTTTGCTTTTTAAAAAATCAAACTAATCAATTAATGTTGGAATGTATATTTTGTGCCTATATGCTAATATTTTTTCCATCTAATAGTTATACACCCAATACAACTCTTTCGAGTAATCAATTGGCATCCCATAAAAATCTAGAGATTTTAGGTAATGAGAACTCAAATCAATTTAGATTTTCTATCATTTTTTTTTATTTCTAACAATATCTATTAGATTCTCAACTTTGTGTTAATCATTATCTAATTAATTTTAAAAATAAAATTGAATCAATTTAATGTGAAACCTTTATCAAATTACCAAATATTCAAAAAATCGATTTTCAATATATATATATATATATTAAATTCGACTTTATAGGTAGATGGAACATACATAATAATTATATAAACATCACCAACATTGAACAAAAATTTGACAGCAAATAATACATCCCACATAACAATTTTTTGAATCACTTTTCCATCATCATCCAAAATGACTTTGGTTTTTTGAAAAAATCAAAGATATCAAAAGAACTTATAGGCCAATTACCGAGCTACGCACCATTAGAATGTTCCAATAAGTTGAACACGAGCGCAATTATCGAAACGTCCTTGATATTATCTTTCACGATTCTGAGGTAATTTTTTCTTACATTATTATTTATATTCATCGTTTTATGCTACATTATTTATTAATTGTTTATTGAATTAATGAATATACTCTCTTAGAGAGAACGAATTACTAACATAATTCGACCCGTCAATATTCCAAAATTCATCGGCGAAATTAAAGAATGTGGCGCTTATATATTGAAAAACTACTAAGTGAAAATAATATTGGCATCTACAAATCGACGATATGCACTTGGAGGATTATTATAAACGGTCAAACCAAGATTCACAAGTGGAGGGGCGATTTCACTATGTATCCTTTCCAACTTTAGGAACTTTACAAATTTAATGGATGTTGAAATGTTGATGAAGCCATATTGTTTGGTACATTCTAATTTTTTACTTATTACGTATTTTAAAATTTTATATATTTACTAAAACCAATAATAAAGTCGATTATGGCATTTTAATATGATGAATTGTCTTATATTTTTGTAGATATTATTGGATTGGTTGTTTCCATACAACCTATATATTCAAATAAAGACTGTCAAAGGAGTTCCAACCCAAATGATCGTCTTCTCAATTATGGATTTAGAGTCTTAGCATTATATATTCATATATTTTTCTATCATTGTATCTAATAATTGTGTATATAAAGAAGTGTTCAATAATATAGATATTTCATTTTTATAATATTTAATAATGTCATGATCCCTCCTTTATTATACAATTTTAATTTGAATATACAATTGTCTTTTAAAAAGGAAAAAAAAAATAAAGCCCCGTGCATCGCACGGGCACTGTACTAGTTTTTGTATAAAATAGTGATAAATGATAATATAGAATAATATTGTCATTCTATTCAGGTGTTATTCTTTCTGCATATCAAACACATCAATGGAAAAATTTATTCATTTCATTATTCAACTCATTTCATTCATATCAAATTTAAATTATGTTATTATATAATAATCCAAGGCTGGAAAACAAGCCACGATCCCATGGGACGATACGACGCCGTAGAAAGGTGTTGAGTAAATCGTTGATAAACGGAAAAAACGCAGCGTTTTGCTGAAAGGCAAAAGCACTATAAAATGAAAAAAAATCTTCTCACTAGGGTTTTCCCACAAGAAAAGGACGCCATTGAGCAGCGATATCGTCTCTCTCTCTCCTAGGGTTTTTTCTCGACCTAGCTAAATTGCATCCATGGATCTCACCAAGAAGCGCAAGGCCGACGAGAACGGCAGAGCATACCCCCTAACCACGGAACTCGCTACCACCATGGCCGCGGTGCCGCCGGTTTCGACCGGCGCCTTATCCCCTGAAGACGCTGAGAAAATCATCGAACCCTTCACGAAGGAGCAGCTCCTCCCCATCCTACGCGCCGCTATCCTCCGCCACCCCGATGTCCTGGAGGCGGTGCGCGCCGTCGCCGACGCGGATCCTGTCCAGCGCAAGCTCTTCGTTCGCGGCCTTGGCTGGGAGACCACCACTGAGAAACTCCGCCAGGTGTTCTCCGCCTACGGCGAGCTCGACGAAGCCAACTCCATCGTCATCACAGATAAGAACACCGGAAAATCCAAGGGCTACGGCTTCGTGACGTTCAAGCACATTGACGCCGCGGTCTTAGCTCTGAAGGAACCGAATAAGAAGATCGACGGCCGCATCACGGTGACTCATCTCGCGGCTGCTGGCAGTTCAGGTAACTCCCACTCTGCTGAAGTGGCGCTGAGGAAGATTTATGTTGGTAACATTCCGTTTGAGATCTCGTCTGAGAGGCTGTTGGCACATTTCTCGATGTACGGCGAGATTGAGGAAGGGCCGCTAGGGTTTGACAAGCAGACTGGGAAGGCCAAGGGTTTTGCATTTTTCGTTTACAAAACAGAGGAGGGTGCGAAGGCGTCACTGGTTGATCCCATGAAAACCATTGACGGGCATCAGGTGATCTGTAAGTTGGCTACAGACAACAAGAAGCAGAAGCCTAATGCGGGGCCTGCTGGTGGAGTTGTTCCTGGATCTGGAGTGCCAAATCCTGGGCCTATGGGAATTCCGCCAAGGAGTTACCCAATAGGAGGCTATCCAGGGTATGGGCAGGCCCCGAATATGCCTCAGCCTTCCCACCAGATGCATCCGAGTGCAGGCTATAATACACCCATGGCTGGGCCTGGAGGACCTAGTGGACAGGGTTATAACAGTGGATATGGAGGTGTTGCATCTGGTTACGATGGCGTAGGTGTGTCTGGACCTGGGGAGTATGGACCAATGGGGAATGCTGCCTACAAAATGCCACCTAGTACTATTGGAATGCAGGGCCCAGGGGTTTATCCAGATAGCTATGGGCCTCCGGCAGCCTATCCGCCCCAGCCAAACCATCCTGCCGGCCCAGGGCCCAGATTTCCAGCTTATCAGGGCATGCCTCCTTATTAAGGTAAAGGAATTTTATTGATTTGGTATCCCCACATACCATGTTTGCATGTTTTCTTATATGTATGACCTCATGGCATGATATTGTAGGTTTTTTTTTGTGATTATTTCATCCTATCTAGGCATGTAACCATGTGTGTTAGACAAATTGCCAAAAAAATGAAAAGATATGAACACTTCATCCTTAGTCCTACGGCTAAAGCCTTGGCAGTAGCATCTCACACCATGTGTCATTGTAGTTAGACACTGCATTAGTCACTGATTGATATTTTTATCAATATGAAGCTTGCATGTCCTTAGTTTAATTGAGCGAGAATGGTAGATCATGCTGCTTATGCTTGCCACTGAAATTTGCTTTTTATGTATGTTTTCCTGTCCTTTATTTTAAGTTAGAATGTGCTATATTAGGAAATAGACTCATGTTTTTAGCTTCTTACAGTATATTTGTGTTTGAAATTTGAATGATGGATTGAGCTTTGCATGTTTACGTGTTCAGGTATTTTGACAGCTTCTTGGGCGCAAATCTTTTAAATGGTTGTGGTGATTATGTGATTGCCGACTGTGAAATCTTTGGTTGATAAATGGACTGCTGTAGATCTTTGGCCTGCTTCAATCTGCTACTATGTCTGCACCTATAAGTTGTGGATTTATGAGCAATATTTGTGCTAGAATGAGGCAGAGATGCCTTAAACATGTGATTGGTGGCTTTGAAATGCTATGAATTTGATTTTGCTTTTTTATTTGTTTAAGTTTCGGTTTATCTTATTTCTGTTTTTCTTACTTGATTGTAATTGCTACTTATATTTTTCTTTTACTTCTAGTCTTCTAGTTGTTAATGTTGAGTCAATAATTTCTACATTCAATTTGTCACTGGTGGTGTTCTGTGGTACGTGTCATTTATTGTCCCATCCATTGTTTTTTCACCGTGGAACTTTATCCTCTGAAGTTAACATTTATTTTGGCTTTCGTTTTCCTTTCCGCTTCATGTATGTAATCCATTCCAGGGTCATCCACAAGTCGTATGAATCGTCCTTCACTGCCTGCCATGAATATTCTTTTCAGAAGATTTGGTTTGATGAGTCACACATTGAGCCCAATTGGATCTGAAATCTTTTTATTTTCATTCTGAAAAGAAATAACGTCTCCCCAGTATTTTCCTCACCTCAATCTCCTTTACTCACTCGTCAAAGGATAACTTATCATCCATGCATATTTTCCTACAACATCCAATGTTCACCCACTTTCATATTTCTTAGTGTCAACCTTTGCCGATCATTAACATATTGGTTTTGATAATTAAATCCTCAGCATCAGTTCATACCCTTAACACTTGTCATCCATCCCTCTAATTGAAAACAAAATTTTCAAAATTGTAGGATAACTAATAAGTGACCTTGAGTTCTCTTCATCGCATTTGTATTTCATTAGTTGTTTAGTTCTCTGTGTGGTTTTGACGGTTTTCTTGGCTCTGTTAAAAATTACTAACCAAAATCAGAGTTTCCTTGTAATCATTTCTTTGGTATCTGGAAACTGGTTTGCCCTAAATTTTGTCATAAAATGCCTTGCGCTTTGGGATATTATGTTTAAAGTTAATTAATTATTGCCTGGTTATTTGGGTATGGTTTGCACAACTTTTGGGTGACCTTGTTCATTTCTTGACATTGGCAGTGATTCTTTGTTTGACTTTGCTGTAAAATCTGTTGTATCACTTGCCATTGATTTGGCCTTTCAGTGTGGAGGTTTATTTTGTCTTTCCATGGCAATTGAGAAATGTGGTGGATATGAACACCTCGTGGTTGTTTGGTTGGTGAGACCCTGGTATTCCCTTTAAGCTAATTTTGGGTACAATCTAATACGACAACTTTCATTGGATAGCAGTTTGATTTTGGGATTATGCCAACCCTTATCTTCGTGTTACTATATGTCTTTGTTATTATGGATTTGTTTTTCTTGACCACTTATGGATTTAGTGCTATTCTATTATCGTTTTACCTAGATTATGCTGAGCAATGAATTCTCTCCAGTTTTGTTACAACTGACAATGTGGCTAATCAAGCCATTGTTTAGATGTTATGTCAAAGCTATTTTGATATCATATTTGCATTTCATATTATAATAGAAAACCATGTTTTGACTTGAAATTCAGGGATAATTTAGTCCATTTATGTTTGAGTGACGCCTTAGTAAAATGCTGCCAAAAAGGAGGAGGATAGCTTCTCCCTCGTCGGCGGCATAACTTCCTTCGTGGAGATCTGAACCTGAATTTGGATTATGCCATTGCTTTGTTGCATGGGCCTCGGATGATGAGGAAATGTGAATTTTTGCCCTTGGTACTTGCCTTGACGACTGGGCCTTGGATGTTGGATGAAACCGGATGTGAGATCCGAATGCAAATTTAGAGCTTTTAATTAGGCCTGAAATGGATATAAAGTCTTGACGAAATAATTTTTAAGTTGGCAAAAAGGCAAAATTGTATGCAACTCGGGGCATGTGGTCCGTGATACACTGATTAATGAAATGTCCAAGCTTCGTAAGGGAAATGGAGGTTGAATTTGTCCTTGAAAATGGGGCAACGAATTGTTATGTAGACCTATGGTTCCAATGTAGGGGACCTTAGATAGATATAAGAGCATTTATAGACTATATTGAAGTGATTGCCTGGAAAATGGGGTGTCATATTATCGAATGAAAAATAGATTGGTTGATAAAAAGTGTTGTATAATGTGTCAGGGTGATTATAATTGTGTTCAATTATCACGTGTGCAAGTATAATATATTGTCAGTTTATTTGGATTAATACTCCCTCCTATTCATTATAAATGTCATTTTGACTTTTTTGATTTATCCATTTTGTTATGTATCTAGACATATTAATGTCTAGATACATAATAAAATGGATGAATCACAAAAGTCAAAACGACATTTATAATGAACAGGAGGTAGTATTACTTTATTTTTTTTTCGCATCGAAAGCTGAAACCTCTATTAGCACAAAGGAATAAATGTCTTACAAACGAAGACCAACTAGCCCATAACAAAATAATAAAAAGATGCACTAGAGAACCGCTACACAAAGCGGCCTAGACTCGAATACCTAAATAAGCCCCTGGCTTAAGCAAACTCGAACATTTGAAATCTTAACCCAACAATACAACCATAACGCAAGCACAAAATTTGAAATCTTAACTCAGCAATACGACCATAATGCAAGCACAACAGACGCAAAGAAGATGCAATAAACGAGTACAAAAAGGAAAAGAAGACCACTGAACCACAAGGAGCCTAGACTTCGACTTCTTCCTCTGTCTTGTTTACAACAATGGTACCTCATCTAGCCAAACATAGACCAATCCGTCTATGCCGCTTGCACAATCTCTTCGTCGCCCAGCCATTTGGATTAATATTACTGGTTTGATTAAAAATATTGGTTGTTTAAGATATGTTAAGAAAAATGCATTGCTCCGCTTGTGAGAGTTTTTGTATTCTCCGTTCGTGGGAGTTTGTTTAGCTTTTTAGGTGTTTGGTGTGTTTGTATTTTTCTAGGTTGGTTGTAAGCTACACTTTGTGTAATCTTT